GTAGTTAACCAGCTGTGCTCTGAAAGGGCAGAGCTGAGACAGAGGAGAGCTTGACTGTCTTGCTGTATGTTTCTTTCCTCCACCAGATTCTGTTTGTACAGAAATTGGGCACTTGCTGCAGGATTTAAAAAAGCCTCCCTGGGAAACTGTGGTTCATGGTGTCTTGCAGAACAACCAAATGGAGGAGAGTGAGGCTGTGTTTTTGGGGGTAGATCTTAATAAGGATGTATTTATATTTTCAATACAACTATCGAGCACTTCATCAGTTGTGGTTTACCTGCAGGACAGTTAAAATTGCTATACCAATTCATGTACCAAAGCATGAAGCTAACTTTGAAACTGTAGCAGGTGGATATATTTTGATTTCCTGATGTTCTCAGGTGGTTTTTGTGGAGGGCTCAGTGAAGTGCCACATGGCGTAGAGGTCTATGGCTGCCCTAAATAGGGGAAGCTCCTACCAGGAGGGGAAGAATTGTTTTTCCTGCAGTTTCTGGCCAGTGAGAAGAATGACAAAAGAGGAGGAAAGAAAGATGAAAAAGCCTAAGGAGTGATAGAAAATGGCCTTCCAGAAGGACAGCATTTCAGTCACGGGGCAGAAGGAACTCACAGCCTGTGATGCTTTCCTTTGCACCACTGCTGTCTGTCCATGAGAAGCTGTAGAGGACTCTGTATTGCATGGGAGATTTGAATGAGTTGGACTAGGACTGCACAGATAACCAGCAACCAGCACTGTTTGCAAATGGGAACAAGAACCCAAACAGCTCTTTCTGTCGCACGTGTTGCAGAAGGGGAAAGATGACAAGGGAGAATGTGTACCATGTTGTACCAGCAGCTCCTGCTCAAGATCTCCATTACGCTCCATATTAGTTAAAGAGGGGAGAATGATTTTTAACCATTTGATTTTTTTTGCCATTTGACTCAGTTGTTGAACCTGAAGAATAATGTTGTTTGGAATTTTGTTAAATAGTGCTACACAAAGCTAGAAAACTACTATCTCTCCTATCTGCAAGCATTTTCTGCCTTTAAGTATGGGACTACAAGGTGATGTTATGTCATTCAGTGAATCTGGATGGTTCAAAAGTTTGCAGTATCTCTGTGCTTATTTGCTGTCCTTCTAGCCATATGGGGTTTTTAATAAAGACTGTGTGTAAAATTGCATAATCCCTGTCATGGCTTCTTGAGCCTTCATTTCTTTACGTGAAGGAAATCAGTATATTTTCTAAGGTCTCTCTTTTCCAGGAGGCACAGTCCTTGTAACATTAAAAGCAATTTGAGGATTCATTATTGTTACAGCATGGATATATATATTTATTTTTAAAATACCATACTTTTGTAAAACAGTTAAATTGTTTGAGTGTTCCTTGACACTCTACATAGACATAATGAGTTCAGGCAGTTTTGAAAAGTTTTAAAACACTGTAATAAGAATCAGGTGCCCAAGTGATAACTTCCTCATGAGTAACATTAAATGGTTTTAATATTGAGATCAGTTAGTGAATTGTCAGGTACTTGGCTTCTATAAGCTTGATCTCAAATGTAATACTATTTAAAATAAAATATGAAAATGGGTTTATAGTATCAGAAGTGATTTTCTTTTGGTTTTATTTCCAGGCTGGTAAGTGAAGAGCTGCCAGAAGTTCCTGTGCTTTACAGAGATGTCTCGTCCCTTTTGCTTATCCAGATTTTAACCATGCCTCAACCATTGCACAAAGGTATGTTAGAAAAATATATATACTTAAATTATTATGTAAATGAGGCTGCATTTGTGACGATTCTCAGGATGGTAAATCATAGCTGGTCTACTGTTTATTCTAAAATAATGTTTCTGCCTTATCTACAGAAGATGGCATTGAACAGAAATTTTTGTTCTGGGTTGATAGCTTTATCTGTGTCCCCTGTCTTTTTACCTTATCAGTCAGCTATTCATTAAAGATACAAGAGCTGAGCAAAAACTATTAAGTATTTCTACTGAAGGAAAAGTGTCCTTTATTTGACCTTCATCTCTTTGCTTAAGGGGGCAGCTCAATACTTGAAGTTGAACTGAGTGCCTAAGGGTGAAAGATTGTAATTTAATTTGAATTTCAGAGTTTAAATTGCAGCAGTCTTGCATAAGAAGAGGTCATATATGAAGATAATAACTGCTGTAATGCAGCAACTTCAATAGAGGCAGTATATAGTATAATTGTGAATATTAAAGAACTAAATTTTTCATTACTAAAATCAAAACTGTTTAAAAACCTAAATTTCTTTTTCTTTGTAAAAGGAACAACTGAACCTGGTTCATCTTGCTAATAGACAGTGTATGTTCCAGAATAGGGGTTAGTTCAGACCTCTGGTCTCTGGCTTGATTATTTGTAACGATACATTTATTTTAAAATGAGGACAAACAAAACAAGTATCACTTTACTACTTCACTGACAACAAACAGAATATCTCCTTTGGGATCTGTGTGGCAATTTTGATATCTACTGAGTTTTGTTAATTTTTGAGTAGGAGCTGTTCTGCTCTTGACATATACACCTAAGTTATGATGTATAGTAGAAATTCTGTTTCCCCTTAAGAGGAGTCCTCACTATTGAATGTTCAAATTCAGCTCAAGTGACTCCGTGTGTATCTGTTAACATTGCGGGTTTGGTTTTTTAATTCAATATACAGAGAATCATAGAATTATTTAGGTAGGAAAAGACCTTTAAGATCATTGAGTCCAACTGTTAAGTACATATTTAAGGATTAAGTATGTCCAATAGATTATTAGAATAAGAAAATATGAAAAGAATAAAAAACTTTTGCATAGGAAGGCTATTGTCAAAAATATACTTTTTTATTTTTTAAACTACAGTTTAACTTAACTTCATTGGAAGGACTTAATAAAATCAGTAAATAAAAGTTTAAGGAGGCTAACATCTGAAATTCAGGGAAGGGAGTGTTGAAGCCAAAGTACAAACCAGTGGTCTCTTTGTAGTCAATATTCAAGCATGGGATACCACCATTTATGAAAGTATACCTTATCCTAGAAGAGACAACATCCAATTAATATTAAGGCATCCTATGGAGAATTCTGGGAAATGCCACATATCAACAGCACATTTTGCCTTTGCTCTTAGGCTTACTGTATGTTGCAGTTGAAAGGGAAATGGCAAGTGGTAGAAAGTAGATGAATGTAACCAGTTCAAATCTATGAAGCATTAAATTGGAAATAAATTGCCATTCATCTTCTTAATTTTTGTTTTGTCCAAATATAACAAATTTGTTTAGAACTTTTACAGTGGGTGTGTAGGTCCCAGAGTCAAATTCGACATCATTAATTCTCGGTAGAGGGCTGAGGCATAACTAAGGTAAAATGGCTTGTGCAGTGTCACATGACAAGCACAAGGTCACTGATAGGGGCGAACAAAATCTGTGTGCTCCTACTGCTTCCTGAACTGTCCGTGCTGCTTTGGCATTGTGGTGGGGTGCAGGAACTGTGGACTTGGCTGTACAATGATATACAGACAGGAGGTGGATGCCTCTGTGTACTGGCAGATATATTTCCAGATATATTCTTTAGCAATAGACTTAACTGTATTGTCCTGTGTCCTTCCAGGAAACTAGAACTGGTCATCAAATACTACATCTCTTTCATGTTTGTACTCAAAATCGGTTTTGTTGACACTGTGTTTTGTTAAGAAGACTGAGTGCTCTGTAAGGAGGGCTCAAACCTCGTCTCTTGCCCTTCAGATGTAACCCTGGGAATTGCATTAACTACCCTATTAACTGTTGGATAGGTGGTATCTTTTTCAATCTGGCATCGATTAAAGCAATAAAAATGTCATTACTGTTCAGCCTCTTCATTCAGAGGAGAAAATTGATCTGAACCCATGAGAAAGAATGAAGACTACTACGGAAAAAACGTGGTGGAGATCAGAGCATTTACAAGCATTAACCAATTTACAGAGGAGGGAATGAGGTTGATAGTGTTTACCTCCTGTGTAGTGTAGCTGGCAAAATAAACGTTGTGTTCAAGATACTAAAACCATTTGTGAAACTTCTTTTTGTTTGAGTTTCACATTAGAACATGGACAGAGGTTTTACAGGCTTCAAATGTTCAGCATTTTGAAATTGTACAAGACTAGATAAATAATAATCCACATAAGAAGTTTCTGCTTCAATTCTGTGGCAGTTGTGCAGAGGATGGACAGTGTTCATGATATGGTGGATTGGGATTCCATACAAAACAAAGATTTTGGGTTTAGCTCCTTTCTTACAGAAATAACAAATGGTGGTGTATGTACAGAAATGGAGAGAGTGGCTTGGTGGTTATCAGAACTTAAATCTGTCCTTGTAAATTGAATTCAACACCCCGCCACCAGTCCTTTCTGCAATGCAATTTCTGGATGTTAAAGAAGCAGTTTAATTAAAATTGGACATTCTACTTTGTTACCATCAATTGTAAAAAGTTTTATTTTCCCTGCACCTGTCTTGGGACCCCCAAGTCCAGATTTCTAGAAGTGTAGAGTGTTTGTAGCTTGTGATTTCAGTTTCTGCATTGCATTGAATATAAAAAAATATCATTATAGAGTACTTAAAAACTGGGGTCTGGGTGAACAGGAGTGAGCCTGAGGCCAGTAGGTGCATAGAATTGGTGGTCATTGGGCCAGCAATGGCCTAGTGCTGTGCTTGGTGCCACACATGCCAGGAGGGCCATGAATCAGTGCAGGCATTTGCCATCAGGCTGTTACACAGCCTGGCATTGCTCTGACAGACTACAGGGCTGCTGTCACAAGATCCAGGATTTGGGTGTCGTGAATGAGTTCCAACTTGAAATCTGATTTTGAGAGTTTAGCCCAGCTTCTTTGAACTGTGGGAAAGGTTTTCTTCTCTAATTGTAAAACCTAAATTCACCCCCTCTTTTCTGTAATTCTTATAAGGTTCAGTTGCTAAAGAATCTAACCTGAATGTTCTGACAGATTCTGTTTCTATGAAGTTTCACTAACATGCAACAAAAATGCAGCAAGCAGCACTCAGTCGAACACTAGCACTTCTCTTTAATGATTGGATAAGGTTCTTGACTAAATATAGAATGGATGTAATCAACTTGAATAGTATCCAGTTTCAGTGTCGAAGCTGAAAAATTTATCTGTATCCTGGAACTTTAATATACCTTTCAGGGACTATCTGAAGTTCAGTGCTGTCTTCCTTTGTTCTGAAGTCAATTTTCAAATAACAGTTTAAGCTTTAGATCAAGAGGAGTGTTTTTCAAAGGTTATTTATACAAAGATCTCCTTCCAAATTCACTAAAAAAGGTCCTATGTCCTTAATTTTGCTTCTGGTTCTCTTTGTGGCTTCCTTCTGTAGTCATTACCTGCCAAAGTTATATTGTCGAATATGATACTGAAATTAAAAGACACATATTGTTAATAATACACTTATTTATCTGCACATTTCTTGCACTAATGTTAAAATTAGAGTTCTAGAAGTGTTTCCTATATAAATTTCATTTTTAAGGCTGTTGCTTAATATATTTATAATGGGATGCTTTGAAATAATTTGGCTCCAAAAAGTTTTAAAAACAGGAACATAAAACTATTTCTCAATGTTTTTCAAAAATAAGTACAAAAGTTCTGGATTAACCTGTTCTGATTATAATGTCCTAACCATAGTAATAATACTTTTAAACTGTCAGACTATCAGATGAAGGACAGAAGTCCTAACTGCATTTTAGTGCAGAACCCTGCACAGCATACAGACCTACTTGCAAGCTCTAGAATTATTAATTAGAAAAGCTGATGTAGCAAAAGCACAGGCTGCACCAGGGGGTCAGCAGGAAAGCAGCACACAGCCCCCCACATGCACATTGTGTGAAGTCAAACAAAGTTGCTCTTTGCAGTAGACAAGAATGTAACAGCTCTAATGGTACAGGTACCTAGAGCTGTCAAATATTTGGCATTTTACAAGTAAGAGATAACATAGTAATGAAATGATAATTGATGTTCTGAATGATGGTTTTAGTATGTCTCCCATTACATGCTTTTGTGACTATAAAAAAGGCTTGATGCTCATTACACAGCATGCTACCTCTGAGCTGCTCCTGAGATATTTTTCCCTCCCAAAAAAAAAGAAAAAAAAAAGAAAATACGAGGTTTGTTTGTACAGAAGTCAAGACTTCTTAAGGGTGACCCGGATGTGGGAGCGCATATTTTTTGTCCAGTTCTGGATTCTCCAAAAAGGTAATTCGTAGTCATTTCTGAGTCACATAGGTGTAATTAAATACAAGAACATTCATTTAATTTTAAAAACATAATATGGGCTAGATATATTTCTGGTTAATTGAATAATTGGTATTAAGGGGGGGATAGGGACAAGGAGCAATTATATTTAACAGAAACCAGAATTTTAAAAATGTAATAGTTTTATGGGGTGCAAAGACACGCAGTGTTGAGGACTGTAAGCACCTGAGCAGAACTCCGAGATGAAGTGGGCTGTGGCAGGTTGGTGCCTGTTGACCAGCGGTCTGGCTTTGCTGCTCTAAGTGCAGTGGTTTTCATTCTTGCTTTCACTGTGCAAAGTTGATTTCTGTCGCTTGTACCTGCTGTTGATGGGGACAGAACTCAATACTTGAACTTAGTTCTTGCTCTTGATTACAGCCTGTATCTCAGATCAAAGAGGCAATTTTTACAATTCTGAATGTGTGTGTGGTTTAATCTTGGATTTTTCAGTCCCAGAAGATTTCCTGAGAGCTTGCCTGCTATTATTCCTCAGGAGTAGGATTGTTAAGAAAATGGAGGCTTCAGCAGAGGAAAAAAATACAGCCAAGAGATCTAGTAGGATCTGGTGAATTCTCCTTCTGGAGAAACGTGGAGAGGATATATCACTATAATGCTACCTGCTCTAGAGTGGGGGGCATGAAGTATAGCAGCATTTGTGTCATGTTTAACACAAGCTCCATAGTAAGAAAATACACAAAAAGGACCACTTTTAATTATATAATAACAAATGATCTTTTAGGTGCTTAAACTGTGCTTAGAGTTTATATTCAGTGACAGTAAAAAGTTTCAAAATCCATGTCTGCGTTGATTTGTTACATAAACAAGCAATTGTTATTTCACAAATTTAATTATGTACTCAAGTCCTAGCTGTGTGTGTTTTGATATTAGATAGAAGAAAGGAGAAGCAAGGTGTTTCATTTTCCTTACCTCGTTCTCATTTCCACATATGAAGCTTGTTTAAATCCTTTGGGGAAAAAAAGAATGAATTTGACCCAGTTTTTGTGAGATGCTTATGCAAATAAAATTGTTTTGCTTGACTTCAAAGCCTGAGAGGACTTCTAAAACCCTCATTTTTGTCTACATTGTTTTAGATATATGTTACAGTTATGTTTTTGCTTAAGGAATGGTGTAAGTTATGATAGAAATTTCTTTGATCTGCCTAGATTTGAAAACAAAATAGATAATTTGGGATGGGAAATACAACCTAAAGTAAAAAGATAAAAAAGGATTGCTACCATATCTTCATTTCAGAGAATGATCACTTTTTTTCCTGTTCCAATTTTAGGAAGTCTTATTTTGTTTCTGTTGCTAGCTTCCCCAAAAAGATTTCAAAGCCTTTCTCCTGCAGCCTAGCTGTAGGAGATAATAATCCTTTAAATGTGACAAAAAATTGTAAGGATCTTTGAAAGTAAGGTAAGTTCTAAAGTGACAGCCTGCCTTTTGTCCTCCTTCTGTGTGCACGTGAGGTCCAGTACGTACTCAGGCATGTTTTACAACAAGTCTGGTATGGCTGGATCCATATCTGGAAGTGAAGGGGTAGAAACTGAAGTACACTAAATGTCCTTGTGGTGATTTCTTTGGGAACTTAACTCTTCCAGTATTTGTATGAATGTCACTTACCCCAAGTGGGTACCAGAAGAGATGGTAGGATATGCATTTGCTTACATCTACAGTAATCAGTAGCTTAACTTGTTGTAACCTTTGGACAAAATAGAATTTTGGAGTATCACCAGGTCACTTGGAGGAAGTCACTGCTGATCAGGATTAAGATAACCGTACAGAGCAGTGGAAAATTACTCGCCTTGTGCTTGTTCTGTCCACTATGGCTGCCAAGTCATTTCTGAAAGCCAGTAAATATGTTGTTCTGTATGTTTTGAGGGGTTGTTCTTTTTGTTTGCTCTTCATTTGAGAAGCAACACTTCCATAACTAGAGGCTCTGTAATCATTATATTTGCTAAAAATATCAAGTGTTTAAAAATTACTTTCTTTGTTTTACAGAACACTTCACCTGCATTATAAAAGTGCTGTTCACTTTATTGTATACTCAAGCCTTGGCAGCAATTTCTGTTAAATGTGGTGCTGAAGATAGGCTGGCATGGAAAGAGGCAGGAGCTCTGAAAAAGGTTGGTTAGTTTATTAAAAAAATTATGAAATTTTGCTTATGTATTTCTGGTAGGAATGTAACAGGTGCTTCTGCTTTCCATGTAATAATTTGCTTCTGCTTCACAGAATTCCACTGTTTTGTTTCTGGGTGTGCAATTTTTGCAAGTTTCGGTATGTGATGAGATGTAAAAGCTTCTCAATTAATATAGTTCCAAAACTGACTTTCAGATTTGAGTCTGTATCTCTGTCGTTTCAATCTTGACTTGGTTGCAATGATTTTGAGTAAGTGCAGCTTTCCTTCCTGTGAAATTGAAGCCTTCCTGGATAAACCGTGGTGGTTGCTCTGATGGACTCCTTTCCTGGAACAGCAGGCAACCTTGGTGGTGGAGAAAAAAGCTTCTTGACTTTTCCAACTCGTTTTTGCTATTTGTGGCTAGCTATATAGATTTCTCTCACTATGTGGTCTAGAGTGCTCATGTGATGAAGAGACAGAGAAGATTTGTCACTATTGTTTCATTGCCTTTTGCTTTACAAGTAAAGTGAGGGCACATCTTTCTACTTCTATGTATTTTCCATCTGTAGTAAATATTGTTTACTCCAGACACAACTTTGCATTTTCTGATAGGCTCGATTCAACTTAAAATATATAGCAAGTGTTTTTTCATTCATTCTGGTTGGTATGTTTTAGAAAATTACTTTAAAAAAAAAATTACTTGTATTAGAATTCAAATTCTGTCAAAACATGATGTATCCGTGAAGTGATTCTTTCTAGTTTTAAAGTAAGCATTTATATACTCACAGAAAAAACATGAGAAATGCAAACATTATAAAAGTGCTTTCATGTAACAGTTTAGAGTATATGTAATTCAAGTAGCAGTTCATATTTCACTTGAGCTAAATGCAGTCCCTTTCTGTAGAATTATATATATATATATTTTATACTGTATGTATCTTTGAACGTCAAAATTCATGTGTTGATCAAAGGAAATATACTTCATTGCTCTTACTTGTACAGCAACATTTTCTCCTTTTCATGACCAGTACTTTTTGGATTTCTTTTCTTATTTGCAGAATACATCCAGTGGAGAAAAATCTTGGGAAGTATTGCTGGGTCATGTGATTAGTGAGCTGTCTAAGGGGAAGATATATGAAGAAGGAGACACTGAAGAATTAGCAGTGGTATTGGCAATTTTCTGGAGAACTTAACCAGCATGTCCTCTGGAAGTATTTTGGCCTTGTTATAATGATTTTTCTCTGATCTTGCTAAAGACTTACAGTACAAGTCTTTATTTTCTAGATCAAAGCATATCCCTTTGGGACAGTTTGCCTGTGCAAATCTTTCTTTTAATAATATCAGATGTGGCCACTACTGCGTTGAGAAAGTTATTGACAAATACTTCTTATAACTATGGGGTTTAATAATATGTATGGATTTTAATCATATGCCTTTCAGAAAGATGGACAAGTGAATATTTAAGTAGAAACCCCATTTGTTGAGGGGGAAAGAAAACCTACAGAGGTCTTTCAGATTGTTAGTAAAATGCTGGCCTTTGGAATGTATGTTTGATGCAGTATAGTATGCTTAAAAATATTTGGTTCATATTGAAGTTTCTTACCTAGGAGATAACTTACCTGGGACAGAATTTAGTAATTGCTTCCTGCCCTATAGGTAAATCCGGATTCTGTAGAGCGTGATCTGCAGCAGTTCTGCCTGCCTTTCCTCAGGATCACAAGCCTTCTTCAACACCATCTTTTTGGAGTGGACTTGCCTAGTTGTCAGGTACAGAATGAGAGGGCCCCACCCAAATGTTTCAATCTAAAAGCTAGAAGTCAAAAAATGAGACACAAAGGTTTCTTTTTCATGGTATATTTTTTAAATCATATTTTATATCACTGTTATGCAGCATTTTTTGTCTTCTATAAATTTGTTTTCAATGTGGTTTTCAAAAAAATGGTACTATATTCTTAAACTTCAGCAAATTCATGCTTATTTAATTAGGTCATAGGTGCTTGTCTCCTAAAATACCAACATACTTTTTAAAACCTGTCCAGCATTTGCAGAGATGGCATAATTTTCACAGAGAATGGAATTCAGTCCTGATTTTGCTTAATGCTTGTTAATACTTGGACTTCATTCTCAGAGGCATTGCATCAGCAGACAATTATGTTTAAGTTCCATGACTAATTTAAGTAGAGTTTTCTGCGGGTCAGCTCCCTCATTTCCTTGCCTCAACATCATCTCCTCTGTAAAATAGCTACAAGCCAGTTTGGGGTGCTAAGCAGGAAAAAAATTATTGTGGAGACTGGGGCTTTCTTGTGTTATTTTTGGAGTTTGGATTTGTGGTTTTGTGGGGGTTTTGGTTTAGGGTTTTTTTTTTGGGGGGGAGGGAGGTTTGGGGTTTTTTGCTGACCATTTTTCTTGTGTTTCAAGAGTTCAGTTTGTGGTGATCCAGGAAAACCTGAACCTTCCTATGTCTCTGAACATGAGTATTAGCATCTTAGTACTAGAATATCTTTACTTTTTTCTTGAAATAGATATATTTTTAATAAACTGTTTAAAAATTCGGACTGTAGGTATTAATCTAAACTTCTCTGATTTCTTACTAAAAAGGAAGAGGAAGAATTCACAGTTCTTGCAAGCTGCCTGGGTCTGTTACCATCTTTTCAGTCAGCTCACCAGTTCACCAGTGCCTCTTGTCTCGATTGGCCAGTGCCAGCATTTGACATGATATCACAGTGGTGCTCAGAATTGGCTTCATTTGCTGATAGACATCCAGATCAAGTAAAGGTATGTAGCAAAATTACTTCTTCCAAAATAGCCTCAATGTGGAAGCAGCTACTTATTGCTTGATTCATTATGCACAGGTACTGTTGTTTTGGATAAGGATCTGAGAATGTAACTTGTGAGAGAGAAATTGTAATGAGAATTATTAGTGGATATGGGTTGAATTGGTTAAAAACAGGAAGAAGAAAACCTGTCTGGTTTTGATATGATTGCTGGACACAGAAAATTGGAATGCTATCCCTAGATGATACTAAATGTCTTCTGCACCTGTAGCCACTCAAGAACGTGTAGTAGAAACTTTGTCTTTTAAGAAAATACATATCAGAAGTTTTTCTTGCCTATTAGACATTATCAATATTTTTTCATTATCGATATTGCATTTCAGTTGCAATACTGAAAAAGATGAAAAGGATAAAAGCTTTTTAATAGTTGACTGATAAAAGATGACACATTTTCTCTGAAGGGTAAAGAAATAATACCAAGATTTGAATTAGTGCAACTGGAATAATCAGTTTTGAAATAGAAATGTTTTGACATGAGTGCATTTTTTTTTATAACAAAGTTTCATCTCAACAATTCAAGTCCCCCTCTCATAAGTTTATGGTGTCAGAGGCAAGCCAGATGCATTCTTTACTCTGCAACATGAGCTGCACCTGTGAAAATTTGAATACTCAGATTAATCTCAAAATACAGTTGCTGCCAATCTGATAGACATTTGAGATAGATTGCAGTGAAACTGATACAATTCTTTCCATGATTGAAAAGGAACCAGGTACAAATACAGTATTTCTTTTTATTTTCTTTTTTGCAAGGTAGGTTTCAAGGTCATACACTCTTCAAAAAAATTTTGCACCCTGCAGAAAAGATCCCATCTGACTGCTGTGCCCGTCAATAAAAATGACTATGTTGAAGGAAAACACATTACTGTTTAAATAAATCACAACAAACAAACAAAAAAAAAACCAACATAAAATGGACAGTGTTTATAAGAGCAAATGAGAAGAGTTAGGCTTTCAAAGCAGTATTTAGGTAGTGCCTGTCTTATCAAAACTTGTGAGTTTTGGTTATGTTCTTAATGGTCTCAAAATCTGTGTGCAACACAGTTTTGAAAAACAGGCAGATGTCTTCAGATATCATTTACAGAGCCTAACTTCAGTTCTGTTTTTGCAAGTTTAAGTCTAAATTTTATCTGGGAAACAGGTTTTATAGTCCAGGTCAGGGTTTTGAAGCAGCACGTTGATATTACTAAGCTAACAGTGTAGGGAGTGAGAGTCTTCCCTGTCGATCACTCTTAGTCCTCTTGTTTTAGCTGTGAAAATTTTTGCATTTAAAAGGTGTCACATTTATAGAAAACATCCTTGGGAAAAGGCTTGTGCCCATCCTGTTACAAAGGATGAAATGTGACTGCAGTTGGGCAGGGTGATCAGCCAGGAGCAGGTGACTATTGCAAAGTGATATTTGACTTCTAAATTTGTGAAATGCAAAAAAAAATGAGAATTTTTAAACTGCATGCTTCTTTTCTTTGGTATTTTCTTTTCTTAGAAATACAAATGCTTAAACAAATGCACATAACTGATATATTCTTATTTTATTTGTAGGCTTTGCTTATTCAGGAGCCTAAATGGGACTTGCCACGCCTCCTTCAGTTGCCTGAGAATTATAATACTATTTTCCAGTATTATCACAGAAAGACTTGTTCTGTTTGTACCAAGGTTCCTAAAGATCCTGCTGTTTGTCTAGTTTGTGGTACTTTTGTATGCTTGAAAGGACTGTGTTGCAAACAACAGAGTTACTGTGAATGTGTACTGGTAAGAGAGAGTTAATTCAAATTTTATAATTGATTGTCCCACTCATTAATAGTTTTTAATTCCATTGCTCAATTTGGATGGTTTTCTTTTCAAAATGTGTTTATATAATCATAGAATCATTTGGGTTGGAAGGGATCTTTGAAGGTCAACTAGTCTAACCCCCAGTGATACAGTTCAGTGCTTATTTCTGATGGATAGACAGACACTGGATTCTGAAGAACAATTTACTTGCATAGCAACCTATTTAACCTTTTTATAAAAGTCTTACAAAGCCATTGTGTGTTATGTTGACACATGGTTTTGATTCACAGCCAGTTGAAATTTGTTTACATTCTGATTGTTCATATATTATCTTAATTTTCCTGTTTTGTTTCCTTGCTTTCTGCATACATAGAATATCAATGTGTGATTGGATTGAGTACTTTCTGATACACCTGACCACCTACTAGTGATCTACAGACTATAAATAAATAAGTGTTGTTTTAAGGTTTTCAACTTTTTCAGCAGCAAAGTTTTCTAGTCAGCATATATCTAAGTTCTTTGAGGAGCCTGAGTTGGACAACATCTAGTGTTGTTTTTCTGCCTACAATAAAGGTTTGCTTTGACAGCTCTTCTCTTTATTCCATAGAATAGTTAGAGGAAGACAAACTTCATGGCCTTTACAGAACTGAGAGGAATTTGTTAGAGATATTCACAAATGGGGCATAAAATCAAATGAAAGAAATTTCAAAGGCATCTTGGACCATTTTGAAATTGTTTGAACTCACGTTTCTCTCTCATAATGCTAATATTGTAGGAGAAGGAGGAGTGGGCAAAATTTAGAATAGAATTTACAGTTATATTTAAGGTGTCAAGTATAGTGAAAACAGAAAGCTATGAAAACATCTATATCATTAATTAATTTTTGTTATAGTTGATTGTATTATAGCTCCTAATTGTAATAAAACCATATAGGAAGAGGGCATTTTTTAATTGCTAAAATGAATTGGTGAGTATAGATCTTTCATAGAGATGAAAGACATACTGAAAAAAGCAAGAATTATTAAAACTTGGTACTAGATTTTTAGAGACATAGACTAGATCTGTCAGAGTGGATAGAGAAAGCAAATGTTTAACAATACAGACTGTTGTAAAAGAGGTAATATTAAGTTTTTTTGAATACTTTCTCCTATTCTTGCCATCTGTGGAAAATGTTTGGTAATCCTATATAATTTTCTGTACAACAACAAATTGGAAATATTGTAGAGACTATTTTTGCTTATTTTTGTAATTCGTTTTTACATGATAACAAATATCCTCCCTTTTTGAGTAGGGAATGGCTTTTGCATACAGGTGTTGTTACGGCAGCACAAGACACAATTCTGGTTTGGAGGGAGATTTTGGGGCAGGCCATCAGTTACCAAATTAGTTCTTAGTAAATAATGTGTGCATGTTATTCGAAGCAAAACTATGTTCTGTTTTTTAAATTCTTTCTGTTATAAAGTTGACAGACACTAACAGAATCTTTTCACTCTTGCCTTTCTACACCCGTAATGTTACAGCATTCTCAAAACTGTGGAGCTGGGACAGGAATATTTCTTTTGATTAACGCATCTGTTATCATCATCATAAGAGGCCATCGGTTTTGCCTTTGGGGTTCTGTTTATCTAGATGCACATGGTGAAGAAGACAGAGATCTTAGGTAATGTTTTCATTACAAGTGTGTTTCATTGTTGCCGCCACTGTGTAGATCAACTTCATCATGTGACATGCAGTAACAGATAATAATAGATCTCTACCTTCCTTGTGTGGAAGAATGGAAAATCCCCATTTACTGAAAGTTGGACTGACTTTTTTTCCTTTGGGCTTTTGGGAGTTTTTTTGGCCTAAAGGTGGTGTAATCGTGATCTTTGAGTTACACACACCTGGCACCCAATAGACAGATTCCTCTGTTGCCATTCCCAATGACAGCCAATTGAGTCTTGCACTGGGAAACGCTTATCTTCCAAAGGTGTTGTTTGGCCTTTAATCAAACAATGCAGTTGGACTCCAGTGTTGGGAAGGAGCATAACTTTCAAAATACTCATGGCCAAGAAAACAAGTGATGGTTTCTGGATTCTGCTATCTAGTGTGAGGAAGAGAAGTCCCAGCAGTTATCCTATTAAAAGCAAAACTGAAAGCCCCTCACCAATAAAAATGCACGCTTACCCTGTGAAAAAAGTTTTATGAATACCATTTGTTGATTATATAATGAAGCATATTTCTATTTATTTGGTATATTAACCATTTGTTTTCTTCTTTTTTGATTTTTTTCCCCTCTCCAGGCGTGGTAAACCCCTCTACATATGCAAGGAAAGATACAAAGTGCTTGAGCAGCAGTGGGTGTCTCATACTTTTGATCATATCAATAAAAGATGGGGGCCACATTATAATGGCTTGTAAATCATCATCATCATCATCTACACACCATATCACTGCTGTTACCATGAATGAATGCATCGTGACTGACAATAGCTTTAACCGAATGGGAGTTTGGCTCTTTGGCGCGGGGTGAAGTGGGGTATGGGCATAAAAGGGAAATGGAACTTTGTCAACATGTGAAATCTTTGCAAAACGAGCTGTTGTTGCTACTAAAGAATGATATAATAATTGAAATTAAATCCTCAAAATGGTGTGAGCAATCTGATTGCACTCAGTAGTCCATTTTGCTTGTGTTTTTTTTAAAGCCCATTATTGTTAAGAAGCACAAATTTTACTTAGAGTTATTTAGAGGCTCCAGGGGTAGCTGTCAGGTTTTTATTTTTCTCTGCATGGAGTTGAGTTTTTAGCAATTTTTGCTGAAACTGTGTATATGTCTACTACATTTACTAAATATGTTGGATAAAATTTCTTCGCCTTTTTTGTGTTGGCTTCAGGTTTTTGCTTGATACGCATTTGTAATTAGACAGGTCTGTAAAACGATTGTGAGACTGCATGGTAACAATTGGTATGAAAGCTGAATTTTAAAGAGAATTTCACTTATAAGAGGTCTATTGAAATATTTCAGGCATTACTGAAAATGTATGCATTCTCAGGAAATTCATAATTTTTTTTCTCCATGAATAAATGAAATAGCTGTACATTAGGTTTCTTATTGCTCTTAATCTAATCCAGAACACACATTCTGTCTTCTTTTTTTCTTTTTTTTCAGAAAGGAGATTTTTTTCATATAAATTGAATAAACTTTTAGTGATAACATACAGAAACATAACATACAGAAATTGCTGTATATAGAGAATTTGTATGGTGCCCAACATAGCAGATCCCAGTTATAAGCATAACAACCATAAGCCTCCTGTCATTCCAAACCAGATGTATGTTTCAGAATGATTGGATTGGGAATGTGCAGGCTATTCTGAAAGTGAATCATAATTTTGTACCTTTGCTGTCATTTCAGGAGGTTCCTCTATACTGTATTTGTTGAAAGTAATCACTGTTCTTTCTGCTTGGTTTCCTAAACAAGGAAAAATAAATAAAGAGAAAAATCAACAGAGGTAGTAGCCTGGATGAACAACCAATGCATGTGCAGCCTCACTGGATGAATGCCAAAAGAGTTTATGCTTAGAGGACTAAGAAATTCATGAGAACAGGCATGACTGGGCTAAACCCCACAGTGTAAGTAGGTAGGAAAGACTGTAGTTAAAATACTGGTATGTAATATATTGCTACTAATGTTTTTCACAAGTGTTGGACATTCGTTGGCTATTTCATACAGTACTACCAAGCAGTTCCTGGTAGTTTTGACTTTCATAGCTTGAGTGTAAAATAAAATTTATATGTGTAAAATAAAAACATCTTATGATAAAACCACAAAGAAAAGAGTTCCCCAGTGGAAGTCATTATCTAGTGAAAAGTGTATAGGGGAAATAAAATTACTGTATAGCAATCAAGAACAGACTGAAGGAAAAGTAAGTAAATACAATGAGTTTTTCTGAATACCTGCAATTCAAAAACCCTACAATAAAGGATGCTGGTTTTTATACATACATATAAATATATATATTTCAAAAGTATTACAGTACTTCCTAAGATTAGAATTACTCTGTTTCACCGACTAAATGGCTGTCTTTTCCAAAATAGTACTTTTTTGATACTGTATTATAAGTTCTGCCTGTGATATTTTTGCATTGCTCATTATGAATATCAGGCCATTTTGTAAATGTGGTTAAAGAGCAAAAAGATTCTTTACATTGCCAGCATAACATTATTACAGGGCTCCTGAACTTGAGTACATCTGTAGTTTGAAGCTCCAGTGCTATATATACAAGAGATAATGTGTCCGAAATTTGATTACTGTGTTTTATTTAAAATGGAATGTTCTCTGGTTGTGCATATGGATGTGAAGTAAAACTATTAGCCTTAACTTTAACATCTGGGTATTTCATAGTGTTTATTATAGTACTGGTGAATTAGTCACCAGTCGATTTAAAAACAACAACAAAAAGTTACTTGGTTGAAAAATTGTACTTGAATATCCTTGCATGCTGCTAAACAAGAATTTTTATTTCCCCCATAACTTTTTTAATCCTACTTTGTTAAGCTAACCTTGAAAAATAACAGGTCCAAACTAGAGTGGTGTGTGCGTGTATTACTCAAATATTCTGGTGTGATATCCTGTATGAATGATCATTTAAATACAGTACATTACTGTAGAATCTAAATCAACCTTGATAACACATCAGAAGATTATAAAACTAGGAATACAGTAATCGGCATTGTAAGATATGTTAATAAAAGTCTACTGTCAATCTGTGTGTTCATGAATTTTTTTTCTCTCTACCTCAGTCATCCAAAATGACATTGAATTCCACCCAATAGCCAGGCAATTATTTAAATATTGAAAGCTTATGCATGCAAAATACTTTGCATAGAGAGTAAACCTGGTATGTGTTTTAATTTGTTACTTACACACAGTCATGTATTTTGTATTAGTAATTTGGATTATTTTAGTCGTAGGTATAGCACTTAAAGTGCTTAATTTTGTGCCAGCTATTACAGCATTGCTGCTGCAAAATGCTGAAGTTAAAATGTTGAGTTGAGAAACTGTACTTCTGGGATTACTGTGCTTGATCTTTTCTGTCAGATCTGTTTCTGGAATAACTATTTCTTTGATGAATGTACATATTTATGTATTAAATTTTTCCTTTTCTTTTGACCTTTGAGAAATTTGGTGAAACAGTTGTCTTTTTGATCTTGACCTATGGATAACAGCATCTGTCACCATCAATGGTGGCCTGAAATTGTCAGTGAATATTTTCATCATCCCTGCAATAGGAATCTTGCATAACTCACAGTATTTCACAAGGAAATTACATTTTTTCTTTTAAAACAGGATATTTTCCTGCAGTATCCAACAAATGTTCTTTCAGAGTCCCATGAGATCAGTTTCTGTTGTGTGTATAGTTGCCAGAGGAGGCTGAGTTTTGTGCTGATCTTCATAGGATTTAGATCTAATTTTCATTTAACCCAGATTCTGCAGTCCTGCTTTTTGCTTTCTTTTCTCAGAGGTGGGGGTAGTGATAAATGAAGCCTGCCTGAGCATTAGCATGGATAAGAATGAAATTATGCTGTTTGCAAAGTAAGAAACCTACAGGAATGAGCTGACCCAGTATGTGGAGGTTCACTGCTGTGAATTATCAGGATATGAGGAAGTGCACTTAATGAGAGGAGGCTGTCTCTGTGTGACAGTTTGTGTTGTTTGTTTGAGTGAGATTGCTCACTGCAGTCAGTGAGATCCACACTGCTGGGCTGAAGGCCACGCTGCATGAATGTCCTTTTGGGAGGGCGCAGTGCCTGAAGTCCCTACTCACGTGTTTTCTCAGATGCACAGTTGTTTCCCTGCAAATTCTCTTACTCTGAGAAGAGTTCCAGCTCCTGCAAGTTCAGCCTTGTGACTTCCCCAGCCTCTTCTCCTCCTGCAATGTCCTTTCGCTGCACTTGTCATCGTGCTCGGTTGTGTGAGGTTATCAGTTGCTGCAAATTGATGTCCTTAAGCAGGAAAAGCATATTCTCTGTGAAGTCAAACACTTCATGAATTCTTAGCTGTAGAGATGGGCCAGAGTATTTTACCAAATTAAAAGTCCTTTTAATTGATAAGTTTTAACTTTTTCTATTATTCACTGTATCATTTGTACTTTCCTACCACTAACAATTCAGGAGATTTAATGCCATATGCTTTAAATATTGCAATTCTATGAAATACTACTGAGAAAGCAAAAGTTAATCTTGTTAAATAAATGATAGTTTCAAAATGCTACCCTTACTACCCTAAAACATGTCTTTCACGATGTATGCTTTTGCATGGTACAGGAAAATATGGGGAAAAAATCCCACTCTTTTGAAAAACATTTTAAATTTAGCTCTGAGTTCCAGTTAAAATGTCTCAAAATGAGCTTTTCTTAAAGTACCATTATGTGCAAAGCCATTTCCTGTAATTCTGTCACTTGATGTAGAGCAGGCTGGTCTGAATTTGTGAAAATTGGGAGCTGGTTCTGTGGAAACCCCTCACATCACTGAATGATTTACTACCCAATAAACAACTTATTATTCCTTTTGTCTTTATCCCTTGTATGTACCACATGGATGCCTCACCTTTCCATTTCCACTGAGTATGGAAACAGTGTTTGAAGAACTGCAGCTAATGGGTTTCTTTTTCCTTCTTCCATTACCTGCTGTCATGGAGCAGGACTTTTCTGGAAGAAAACTTTTCCTGTGAAATCAAACTCCGTCAGGCAATTTCTTATGCTGCCCATAATGTCTGTGTTAATTGAGCTACTGGAATTGCTTACATCACTTGTTATTTAATACATTTCCTATCATAGGATGGCTTGTTACTACTGAATTTTTTAAGAATTTTGATTGAAATCAGTTATGCTGAGCTTATTCCTCATGGTTGGATTTTTTTTTTATTTTTAATGTTTGAACAAAAAAAAAAAAGCAAAATACCTTTCAGAGATTAGAACTGGAAAAAAACAAGTAATCTCCATGCCCAACACTTAGAAAAACTATTGTTACAATATTTACTGTCTCTATACTATGGCCTTAAATCTGGTGACCAAATGTGTATGGGTCCCATTTTAATGTAGAACGGAACTGAAGCATTTGCCAAATCAGAACAACATGTTCTCGGGCATTACTTGTTCAGTACTGGCAAATACCTAAAGCAGATAATGAGCCTTTGCCTGTTTTTTAGTTGACAGGGAATATTCTTTGCACCTGGCTGTTGAAGCCACTAAGTCTGTTTGCTGTGAGAAGTGTTATTTTCTTTGTTTCTTTGAAAAGCTGGAGCTCTCTTCTTTCATGCCTTTGTTGTCTCCATGTTGTATATGCAACTACTTTGTTTCGCTAGTATTGCACAACAAAAGAAGCCTAAACCAGCTGGAGAGTCCTCTGCAACTGTACAGCAATACTTTTCAAATAAGATTGCATTTTCTCAGAGTACTTCATGCAGAGATAGCCAGGGGGTACAGCTTGAAAACTAGTTTGTAGAGACTGTGGCTGCTTTCTTGCTCTATATTGCTGGTCATTTTAGATTTGTTACGCATAATTTGAAAACTTAAAACTAACTTTGCATTTTTTCAAAGTATCTCCACAGACCTTAAGAGATACTGTCTGTGTTCTAGGACAATTTTCTGTTGTTCTCGAGAGAGTTTAGTGTGGAGCTGCTGTTTTAATCTCAGCTCTGCAACGAGGTATTTGGTGAGAACTGCTCATGTAAACGAGACATGCAGGTTTTGTTAAACTAAGCTTTTCAGGGCAGCTGAAGAAAATGTTAATAATTGTTTCATTTAGGTTCTCTAGCTGTCTGCTTTATCCTGTTGGTTTTGTCTCAACTTTTGTAAGCTCCTTTAAGACAGGGAACACCTCATGTTTGGATCAGTAAGTAAATCTTAAGTGCTGCTCTAATGTTAGATCAACTGGTGTTAGAGCAAATCCAGGTAGTAGGATCTTCATCATCAAAGAAATATATATGTGCACACAAGACTTAAGTGAGATAGAGTCCTTTTCATGCTTTCTGCATGTTTTCAGACTTTGCTTCCTTTAACCTCAAATGTTCCTTGTCACACAGATATGTTGGCAGTAATCAAAATCAACAGGAAATTTAAATGGGGTTGTTTCTCATAGTCAGCCGTGACTCTGGGCATAATAATCCCTCCTCAGTATCTCTACATCATCTTTTTTTGTCCTGCCAGAAGCTGCTTTCTCAAGAAACAAATACTTTCTGAGCATTAAAGAGGCTTATTGCCTTTCGTGAGTCTAGTGCAGTATTTGTACAATTGATACTTCCCAGCAGATGACTGATGTAATTCAAATAACCTTCAAATAACCTGGTTACTCAGAAATGGCTCCTACTTCCACTTTAACCTTACTTGGATTGGGTATTTTTAGTTAAATAATAGCAAGATTTCATACAGAAAATTTTCCTTATACAAGGAAAAGAGTATTTTAAAAAAATTAGAAGGGTGCTGTTTTAGCAACCCTTATTTCACAGACTGGTATTCTTTCTGGTTTAATTCTGGGCAAAATTAGGACCTACTAATCAGATTATTGCATATAATTTTACAATTCTTATCTGTCTAAAGAAACAAGTAAGAAATCCAAAGCAATCTGAAGCTAAGGTACTGAGTGACGCTGCTCTTCCGTGGGAGGATATTTCCAAGAATGCGGCAATACATTTTTTTCACTCAATGGTGCAGAGCTGTGTTGCATCTTGTCCTCAGAAAAATGTCAAAAGACATGTTAACGTGTGTGAATACCAACAAGGTGGTTCCCCTAGCAACAATAAATAGCCCACTCAAGTGATTTACCCGTGTAAGTGTGTGGCAGGAAAGATGGATTTTGAACACTAAGGGAACTCATTACATGTAAGAAGAAAAACAGCAAATCATAAAATAGAATCATCCTAGCCAGCATTGCTGTTTATTAGAATTGTATGCAGCATAATTATAGGGAATTTGCATAAGATATCCTTAATATGAAATATCATCTCATTTTACTCTTTCCTTCTACAGCTTTTAATTTTCTGCACTATGGGGGGGGGGGGGGAAGGTTGTATCTGGGAAGAGATAAGGAGAAGGCTTTGGTTCTTTGGATAAGCTCATCTTCCAAACTTATTATTATGTCCTACATACTTACTCAGACCTAGCATTTGAGTGATACAGGCCATTCAGTGGTTCAGATAAATGCATAGGTTTAAACATAATAACAGGCACATGGTATGATTCTTAGGGATGTTCCACACAGAGCTAAGAGTTGGACTCTATGATCTCTGTGGGTCCCTTCCAACTCAGAATATTCTGTGATAATAATAATTTTAAAATAATAATTAGCTATGGGATGTACAAAGCAAGAGTAAGGATTACTCTAGGGAGCATCACACTCCAGCTCTGCAGAATAAAGAGTAAGTTGATGATATATGGGTAACCAGACTTGTGTTATGGAAGAGCTGTACACAAGGTACCACTAACTGGTGCACATCACTTGCTAGACTCTGTGTGGCTCTTTCTCTTGGAATTAGTATCTAGAGTATACAATGCATAGGCTCTTCTGTGTGTATTTTTGTTGTTGGCTTTTAAGTCCTTTGAGTCACCTTTCTTCTGGAGTTTGGAGCTGGGAATGAATCCAATATAATTCCAACTCCCTGTGGTTCAGCAATGCTATTTACATTTCAGTGCTATCGCTACATCAGGCATTCTATCTCCCCCCTTCTGTTTCCAGGCGTCTGCCTGAGGTCTGCAGTTTGTGCTTATGATTTGTAAGGGCTGGACCGTGGTTATGTACCTCGCACTTTAGTCTTGGCTAGCACTGTTATATTGTTGCACTGCTGCTCTGCTCTTTCCCAGCGGTAGTGTAATTATTCTTTAATGCTGCCCTGCTACCTACACAGTTTTGCTGAACTTCTCTAGTCCTTATCTGAGTATTCTGCAGCTGCTGGCTTCTTCTTTAAATCATCTTCGAATATATGCATAAAGCTCCAATATTCTTCTCATTGCTTCCTTTGATTTCAGAGGCAGTGGAACCCACTCTTATGTTAACATTGCTGGTATTTAATTTCCTTCATTGCTGAACAATTTTTGAATGGAAGTTTTCTCTCCTTTTCAGTCCCCTTTGCTGTTTTTTGTTCTATCCATACTGTAAAACTCCTCGGTTGCTTTGCCCTTGCTGTCCTCAGTATTCAGGTAATGCAGTAGTTTTGTATTCAGGATTTTTCTACTAGTGCAAGAGAAGGAAACTAGATGTCTCAGCTAGAGCAGTGGTGTTTGTATGCGCAGAAACATTAAAGCTAGAAGCTGTCATTTCAGATGTCAGTCTAAAAACCTAACTGCAATAAGACCTTGGCTACCAAACCCCTTACACACAGTCTGTTTTATTCAAGATGGTGGCAACCCTTAAATAAGGTGCATTTGCATTTATTTAAAAGCTAAGAAAGGAAAACCAGAGCAGCACCTATGTGACCTGGTAGCACAAGACAATATGAAACAATACACCATAACTTGGATACTTAGAGTTCACAGTGCTGTATCTATATTTGCATACAAATATAGATAAATTCAAAACTGCCTGAAGATTTTCACGAAAGTAGTATGCATTTCAGCAGTGTCCTTAAATTCTCCAGCAACTGTTTTTTCCCTTCCAGCAAACCTGTTTAGTATTATTACATTGAATTCTGATTCACCCGTGTTTATGATGTGTGCAGCTTAATGCAATCATGCATTCTTGTAATCATAAGTCCATCTCCGGACAAAGAAGAATGCACACAGGATGAACAGGTATTTTAAAAGCATGAAGTCCTCCAACTTTTAAAGGAATTTACTGTAGTGAATGTTTGTGTATATCCATTTAAATAAAGAGATTTTAAGATTTCAAATCAGGGTAAGACAGTGCATCTCAACTTTTAATTACAGATAGAGTAGGTTACTTTATAATGTGTTTTAAGAATAAAATCCCTCTATTTATAACATGTTGTTACATGTTTCTCTATAAGTCAGTATTGTATGACAATTTAAACAGGAGCAGATTCCCCAAAAAACCTACTTAATGTTCAGCCACTGAACGCTTTCACAGAATACACTTTGGATAAGCTCATCAGTTAAATACTGTAGACTATTTACTGCCTATGAAATATTTTGTTTCCATTCAATTCTTGAGGCTATAGCATTTTATAACATGTCATTTAATAATAGCTTTTCACCTTCTGGCATCTACCATGGCCATATAAATGACAAATTATTTAATTTTCAAATGCATTCTAAGAGTAGGAATGGCTTGCATTAGTGCAGCCATTGTATAATGGGTCTGTCTTTACTGCACATGTAATCAGAAGCACTACAACAATTAAGAATTGTTTTTTCTACCTGAGATTTGCAAGCAGTGATAAAAATTAATAGCTGTACTTAAATATAGCTTGTTTTGGTTTGGCTTCAGAATAAGCAATGTTCATGTAAATTGTAGTTTAGGATGGACAACACTTCCCATGACTGCAAACAGTAACATTAACCTTTATAACATTACAAAAATGAAAGGATTATGTGCTTTGGTATTTATTCCTGCTGAAATTGAGAAGTTAAGCTAAGGGGGGTTGGGTTGTGTTTGGGTTGTGTTGGGTTTTTTTTAATCTTAAATTGCAATAAATTAGCTGCCTTTTCAAATTCCCCATTATGGTATTTCTGCAATCTAGGGATGACTCTACTGGCAAGTTGTGAGTTTCAGTTGTACTTGCAAAGCCACTGCAATGAAAATTGCTGCACCATGGAAGACTGTTGTGTGTTTGGAAATCCAGTGTGGGATATGAAGTCTATAACCATACCACTTGTGTAGCTCCAACAGTTTCGTTACCCATTGTGACTGTACCCTGACTGTAAACAAGGTATGTTGAACAGGCTGGCAGGGTCTGGAAAAGCAATTCTAGATGGACTGCAAGGACCTAGTGAAAAGGGGGAAATAAACCATCAGCATCA